GGGACGCTTCAGAGGCTACCCAGCATCGTCGGGTATGGTAACGCGCTTGAATTAGCGCTTACGGGTCGGACCTTTTCGAGTTCGGAGGCTAAGGAGCTGGGCCTGGTCTCTAGAGTGTTCGGCTCCAGGGAGGAGTTGGATAACGGCGTACGTGTCGTCGCTGAGGGTAAGTTTGTCATTCCCGAAACAATGAAATTATGATTAGTAATTATTGTTTTTTTACTTTTAAATTTTAATTAAGTAAATTGTATGCAGGAATTGGGTTGAAATCCCCACTCGCGGTTAGAGGGACGAAAGCAGTGTTGCAGAGAAGTAGGGAGCTGAATGTGGAGCAAGGCTTGGATTATGTTGCCACGTGGAATTCGGCGATGTTGTTATCTGATGATTTAAGTGAGGCGGTCTCTGCCTACGCCCAAAAAAGAAAGCCTGTTTTTGCCAAACTCTGAGTCTGTAGCTCACTTCAATTTTGTTGTTTAATAAATGGAAAATACTTCCTCGCTCCTACATAATATATTTGTATTTAAAAAAATATATTACAAAGTAAAAAGTGTGACATGCATGCCAAAGTCAACTTGTCACCGACATGACTGATCATGTTTTTTAAAGTAAGTAAGCACTCCCACAACATTATTTGGATAATAAAAAACTCCAATATCATTCTCGCGTAATATGTGTACTCGATGCAATGTCTTTAATAAATTACATCATTCAAAAATTTCAGGCTTTATTAGCACTTAGAGCATCTACAACCTTTCTCCTTATTTTTTAAGTTAAAATTTAGCTACAAATACATAAAAGCATAAAATTTGAATTCCGATCATATTCTCTAGTTTAGAGAGTCATAAATATTAGAATTATTTTTTAATTCAACATAATTGGTCAATCCCTATACAAAATAATTAAAAGTTTAAAATATGCATAAAATAAAGCAACATTAAATTATATGGAGCTATTATGAGTCATTTATCTCTCCTCAGATTTAAGAGCTTCTACAAGTCTCTCTATTTTAGGAGGTGGATGTGAAGCACGATTGAAGTTGTATTTTTCCAATTCATTTCTAAAATTTGCCTAAAGAAATGGTTTATAGAACTCATTATAGATGCTCTTAGTATAAATTTATGTATTTTATTGTTGTAATAATTATTTGGTTGGCTATGGGCCATGGCTTGGGCTCCCATCAAAACTATGGACCCAACAAGTCCACATCACACAACAATCGCCAAGAGATAAATTGATGGATGCCATGCCAGCAATGATTTATTTTCTTGGTCCATTCTAGTGCCGTTTATACTATTTTCGTTTCTCCCCTGAACTTAGTTTGCAAAATAAATATTAAAATACTTTCTTGGCAATTTAGAATATGATTGTACCTTTATCTATAAGAAGAAAACAAAGAGAGTCCTTATAAAAAAGTCGTTCTTTGTTTGCAAGTGGAATTTTTTGTTGGTCCACTTCATCCTGACTAGGAATTGGAGAAACCCAAATTAGTTCTCAGGCACCACTTGGGTGGGGGAGGTTCTAATGGGGGTTATGGTGAGGGGGTGTCTTGAGGGGTTCAATCAACCATGATAATAGTTATCACTATTACAAAATTGTAAAATTTCTAATTAGAAAGACATGCTATGTATTTATCCTAATCTTGTTTTCCTGTAGGGTGTTGAAAACAAATTAACAGGTTATTTGATTATTTTATTTTTTTTCACAAGGTGATTTCATTTTATTCACTTAAGTAATTTTGTTATTGGGTGCTTTTTTTTTATGGAGCAGGGAAGGCATTGAAAGAGAGGGAAAAAGCTGCCAAAAAGACTGAGATTTTGGAAAAGATACAGGAAAAGGGGCATTGGACTATAACGATTAAAGGGAAGAAGAAAGGCTTTGCTATATGTTGAGTACAGAAAGAGAAAGGAAAGAGAAAAGGTTGATATTAGGAGATGTGGTAGAATTTGTGAGCAATCATATGTAGTTTCTTTGTTTCTAATTCTATGTAATAAAATTGAATCTTCAAGTTTTATGAAAGAAATAATTTTTGAGTGTATATATTCATTAATAAAGCGTTATAATTGATTTTCTAGTTAAAATCGTTGTATAGAATCATAGGAAACATAAAACTAAAATGTAACAGCTTGAACACTTATTATGCGACATATTTCAAGATAATAAAACGATGGTTATATGGGAAAAACCGTCGTATGTACATATAATCAATGACCCTTTTTAACACAATATTGTCGTCTTTATATAAAATCAATGACGTTTTTTAACAAAATACCGACGACTTTACCCATAAATGACGATGATTTTAACAAAATAGCGTCAGTCTTTTAAACAAAAACCGTCATCTTTATCCATAAATAATTACGGTTTTTTATAAACCGTCGACTTTACCCAAAACAACGATGGTTTTTAATAAAAGAATGTCGTCTTTACATCCGAACAACAATGGTGAAAAGCCGTCGTAGTTTGATACTCCAAAAGATTGTGGTCGATTTAACGACGGTTTTTAAAGTATCACAACGACAGTGGATCACCATCATCTATTTTGTTTTCTGTAGTAGCGTATGTAAATGATCTGATAGCTATTAAGGTTCTTTCATTATAACTCATCATTGTAATATTTCATTATAGTCTTTCTGCTAATCAGTCATTGACCTATGAACTTAACCAGTCCAATAATGTTCGGATAGGGTCATTTTGCTTTCAAACAGAAAGAGAAATCCTATATTTTTTTTCGGATGTAGGCCTCAACCATGCCAGTCTGAGTTGCCCAAAATGGAAAACGTTATGATGAGGGAGGAGAGCCTCATACGTTTTCCTCTCCACTATCCTTGTACTTGAAGTCTTTTAGAATTCTAATTGACCAGTGTAGGAGTCTTATCAAATATTGAAAGAAGTCTCAGAGTGTCACAAACCAAATTCTGCAACAAAATTTTGTCATTTAAGTGTCAAACGCACATTTTTTTTAGATGGTAGGCGAGAGGGTAGTGTGTTTTTCATGAACTCTCACCTAGACATATCTTGATTCTCTATATGTTTCACGTGAAATCAGTTGCACCAATAATCTTGAAAATAATTGGCGAATAAAGTGAACGAAAAGGAAAGAGGACGGATCATGTTTGCAAAAGTTGTTGGATTTAAAAACAAACAAAAAAAACAAAAACAAAATTTTGAGGCAAGCATTAGTGCTCCACTCACACCAAGCCTTGGTTGCTTTGATGATGCATTGTCATTTGCCATATAGCAGTGAGGTACATCACTTTTGTTAGTGACCATTGATTTTTTAAATCAAGACAGTTCTACACTATCCTATTCCTATCAACATATTACAATAACAAATATTCTGGTCTTCATTTATGGAAGAAGTTTTTGTTAATCAAGGGAGAAGAGAAAGGGGATGAGAAGAAAATATTGTTAGGTTAAAAGTTAGTTATTATTCACGTGAATGAATTTGGATATGAAAAAATTAGAATGATTCTCTCTCAAACAAGGGTGAAGCTAAGCCTAGGCTATGGTGGGCTCTAGCCTAGGGGAACATTTATAAAATATTGAACATGGTCTTATTATTATTATAGGCTTATTTCTACTCAAATAAATATTAGCTCACATATGCATTGTTTTTTTTTTTTTAAAATTAAAAAAAACGCCATATTTGAACCTTGGGAGCCTAGAGGAAATAGCTCTCTGCCTTTGAAAAATTGTATCAACCCATCTTCAGTGGGTTCTTCAATTTTGGTAAGTTTTTCTCCTTTTTCTTATTTTTTATTTTTATTTTAAATATTCAATTTCCACTTTTAATTGTTGTTGTTAAGTTTTTATGATTTAGGGTTTGAGTGAAAACTTTTGGAGATTGTTGATATATGTTTTATTTTTGGAACTTGAATTATTAATTAGCTTATTTAATTTTTGGTGTCTAGTATTTCTTGTTAGGATATCATGTCACATGATGATAATAGACCGACAAATAGAGGAAAAACTATTCATTTAATGTTGATACTTCAATTCCTGAGGAACTTACTGAACTTGGATCTCATTATGATTCTTGTTTGGATTTATTAAATATGTTTAATGCATCTTGTACAATTGTTGAGAACTTGATTAAGGATGGAGCCATTAATTCTATGCGTGGGGAAGCGGCTGGTACGTTCAAAGCGATGACATCTTACAAGTTCATAATATATCTCCTCTATAAATAAAAAAAATACAAATTTATAAATAAACCCAATCCTAGACATGTATTTATAAAAAAACCCAAGCACTATTTAAACATAGAAACACACCCAAAATCAACCCCAAAGTCAACTTTTTGGGTGTGTTTATAAAGTGTTTTGGGTGTTGGGTTTTTTTATAATTTCAACCTCCATTTTGGGTGTTTTAGTGAAACTCCCTAAAAAAAATTAGTCTATCCTTATAAAAATTCTTGAGTCCACCATTGCTCTCCAACTAAGCAAAACATACCATATCTATGAAGAGTGTGTGTATGTATTTCTTCACATACAATTTGAACGCTATCTAATGCATTATGTGAAATGAAAATCATCGGTGATATCTAGAGGAGTCTCGAACAGTCAAACCTTATCAACAATGAAAGGCTAATTACAGTTGCCGCGGTTTGCGAATATCTTGGACATGCATGGTCAAAGTTGACTTGGAGTAAAAAAAACAATCCTAAGTACGCAAAATTAGAAAAATACTAAATGAAGTTTAAGCATATTCCTTTGAACTCGAAAACCCCAAGCCGCAAAAATTTAGCGAAATAAAACAAAAACCAAGATTCCGCGCGAATTCCTCGTTCTTTCAATGAACACAGAGAAAAAATTAAAATTAAAATTAAAATTAAGCCCCTTGGGAATGGAAGATTCTTTCTCTCTCTTTTTTCTTTTTTTTTTCCTTTTTTTTTAATTTATAAAAAGACAAAAAATTAGCTGGCAATTGGGATTTGTCTGTTATTTTAGTATTGCTGAACCTTGTTAAATACCCCCTATCACTTTCCAAGCTTGTGTGTTCTGTGGACCAAGTGCCAATTTTCTAAGCGTCCTCATTTCTTGAATTCGAAAGCTTGCTTGCAATTTTGCAAGTTTGCAAATTTGCAAGAGCAAATGGCTCTGAGGGCCGTGCATGTCTTTAACGTTCCTAGTCTCCACCAAGTCACAGAAAATGCAGCATTGGCCCTCCATTCTTCACGCTTGGCTCAAGGTGATCACCATTCAATCAAATTGCTTTGAATTCAAACAAAATAAAAAACGAATATAGAAAGTGGTTTTGATCTTGATCTTGGGTTTTGTGAATAGGTGTGAAAGATGAAGGTGAAGAAACCATATATGGATACGAATGGCCCAAGTTCATGGTGATGGGACACAGAGGCAGCGGGATGAACATGCTACAATCTTATGATACAAGGCTCAAATGCATCAAAGAGAACTCTATTCTCTCTTTCAATTCTGCCGCTAAATTCCCTATCGATTTCGTCGAGTTTGACGTTCAGGTAAAGGCATAATCTTTGTGCTTAATGGGCACCCAAATGAAAACAATTAATGAAAAGTAGCAATCTTGCTGCAGTTCGTTTTCTTATTTTACCATAACACATTTTCCTTGGCTTGTCATGGAATTTGGGGCTACAAAATCAATGTTAAATTATTCATTCAAATTTAGGGTACTGATTGCTCTGCTTCTTTTTCTTTTCTGTCCTTTTGTTCCATTTTCTTACTTTTACATTTGGGTGAGTGAAAAACCCTTTAGAGGAAACTGTAAACAAAAGCTATTTTTGTAGGTGACCAAAGATGACTATCCAGTCATTTTTCATGACAACTTCATTGGCGCTGAGGACATGGTTAGTTCTACTTCTATATATCCCATCAATTCTTTATTTTTTTAAATTTTAATACCATACTGAATATTCATCCTATTTGTAATTTGGTTTTAGGGTGTTTTCAAGGAGCAAAGGGTTACAGACATAACTCTGCTGGAATTTCTTTCCTATGGACCTCAGAAGGAGGCAGGAAAGGTAATCAAAATTGGAGATTGTCCTGTTTTCAGATTGATAAATAATATGCATGCATGGAAGGTAGAATATTGTCTAGGATGAATATTCAGGTCATTCATTCCCATATCCAGGTTGAGAGGCCTATGCTTAGAAAAATAAAAGATGGAAGAATTTTTGAGTGGAAGGTAGAAAAGGATGACTCCCTATGCACATTGCAAGAGGTGTTCGAGAAAGTTGAACATTCCAAGGGTTTCAATATAGAATTGAAGTTTGATGATCAGATAGTCTACAAAGAGGAAAAACTCGAGCATGTTCTTCGAGTGATCTTGCAGGTAAGAATGTTTCTTTAGCATGTTTTATAGAACATTGCAATTAATATTGTTGTTTTAAGCAGATAATATTTCCCGAACTTTCTTTGAACAGGTGGTAAATAAGTTCGCCAAAGACAGACCAATCCTGTTTTCAAGCTTTCAGCCTGATGCTGCACTTTTGATGAGAAAATTGCAGAGCACATACCCTGTAAGATCACGTTCCAAACTTCCCCATAGACTGTCTCAAATGAAAAGCCTTCTGTTAAAATGTTTCATAAGATTGAATGATTTTCAATGGCTTACTTTTTGAAGCTGTAATGTATGTGATCCAGGTATATTTCCTCACAAATGGAGGGTCTGAAATTTACGCGGATGTTCGAAGGAATTCGACGGAAGAGGCCATTAAGGTTTGCTTGGGGGGCGGTTTGCAAGGAATTGTATCAGAAGTAAAAGCTATCTTCAGAAATCCAGGAGCAGTGACCAGAATCAAAGAGGCCAATCTTGGCATTATAACCTATGGACAATTAAAGTAAGCCGTTCTTTTGAGTTTTTCATTAGTTTATATATATATAAACTTCAGAAACTTGTCCAATTAATAATGAGATATGTTGGTGGTTCTTGCAGCAATGTGGCAGAGGCTGTGTACATGCAAATTCTAATGGGCGTGGAGGGAGTGATTGTTGACCTTGTTCCAGAGATCACAGAGGCAGTTTTTGTGTAGAACTATCCAATATCATCCTACAAAGGAAGGGTAGCTCATTTCTTCTCAGAGCAGGAACTTGAACTTGCTTTCCTTGTAGAGGTTATGCCAGAGTAGATACAACTTTTGAGGGCCATCATCATCAACATGGCCAGCCAGAACCAGATGAAAATCTTGTGTGTAGAGTAACAGTTTTTTATTGACAAAATAGTTTTTAGTTGTATCCAAATGGTTTCTCAAATGGAAGATGAGTTTGGAGTTCAAATCATCAACAAAATTTCATAAATAAAGTCACCATATTTTTAAATTTCCATCTCATTAGAAACCATTCCTCCAATGTTTTTGCATGCTCAAACCACAAAATCCTACAGGAAAATAGCAGACTTTACACTTTTGGAGCCCAACCCATAATTAATTATATTAATTCAGCCAAAGTTTTACCATCTCTGGCCCAACCCATACAATACATTCCCAATTCTGGCTGGGCTGGAGTGTTCCAGACTAACACAATAAATAATATTTCTTGAAGGGATATATCAACAATCCGCTGTAGCACAAATTGAATTGGAATTTGATTAATCCGGGTTCGAATACCGGCAGCGGAATAACTTTTTTTAACTTCCTCTTTTTAGTGTTTTAGAACCTCTTGAAAGAAATAAATAAAGTTAAAAAGACAATGTAATTTGCTTCTAAAACTAGAATATATACCCTTGTAAGTTTCGTAGAATATGTAACAAGGTCTAAAGACACAGCTTTGATACCAAGTGGGCCAGTTGGTTCACATCACGCATGCCCAAAGACGCCGCTCTTTTGCTAGCATTGCGTTTGATGGGCCTTTTGAGGAAGCTTCTTTCAAGTGTGCATGGGCAAAGCTTGAGGATACGAAAGTTGGCAAGAAAAGTAAAGCATAAAAGAAAGAAAGTGGACAAGCAAACTAGACACTGAAATCATTTGCCAAGTCTAATTAGGAAAATTAATCACGACATTGAAATTACAGGGGTGATTATGTTGCTACATCATTGTCATCTTTGTTCAACTTTTCCGTAATTACATACATCATACAAACCCTAGATGGCTTGCCTATAATAAGTGTTTGCAGATATTAATCTGATAGCTTGCTTGCTTCAGGGCTGGCTGGTTGACGGATTTGGTTCATAGCTTGAGAAGGAAGAAAATGAGCTCAACCGATGAGTCTATGCGCAATGCATGTGTAAGAAGCAATGACCTCCGGAAGCCATCGGCATCATTAGACAAACATAGAGCTTGGTCAACTTTGAAATCTTGGGCAACTTTTGAATTTGTTTAATCCTTCACCCGTTGTTCTAGAAATTCGTCTCATTGGGTGTTTGTTTACTTGTGGATCGATGCATCACATCTATATTATAAATTTGTACTCAAACATGGCTAGAGTCTATGTTAGAAGCGGTTGCTTGCTTATATTTTTAATGGCATATGATACGATATGAGATCACACTCATCCATTTTCTTCTGGGACAAAAGCATATATTAATTTTTCATGCTCGTTACGAAACCCGAAAGTATATAAAATAAAGTTTTGTTTCCATAATTAATAAAAAAAATGAAGTCTGTCGTTGTAATGAGACAGCACTTAGAAAATGGGAAATGATGTGCGAACATTAAAGAAAAGGAAGCATACATAATTCTAAAATGATTGACGTAAAGGAAGTGAGAGAGTGAGAGAGTGAGAGAGGAGAGCACTATTTCCTCTTCTTCCACGTCGTCATCTGCCTCTTTTTCTACTTGGTGCTTCTCTTTCCAGCTAATAAATAATTAATCTGTTGCTAATACTGTTTCCATTTTCAATTATTCATTCATTTGAGGGATTGCCTTTTAAATTGTCACAAGGGTTTGGTTTTCCTTGTAAGTAACCCTATTGATTGGGTTTTTTTTTCTTGTTTTCTGCAAATCAAATTTGAAAAAATTCTCTCTCTCTCTCTCTCTCTCTCTCTCTGTGAGAAGGCATGGTGTGTATGAGCCATTAGGATGCTTCAAATGAGGGCAACCCTTACAAAAGATGAATGAATTCCCAGAAAAGTAAAAAGAGTGAGGCAGTGGAAGAAAACCAAGCCACACCGCAAAAAGAATACCAAAAATAAAAAGGGATTTAATAATAATAATTATATAGGAGAGAAATATTAGGATTGGGTGTAGGAGGAAAGCAGAAAGGCATTTTCCCATTGAAGAACATATTTTACTCAAAACACAATAATTGCAGGGTTTGACGTTTCTCTCGATACTCCCTCAAACCCTCTTCAAAACCCACACGCAACCTCCTTTGACCTCTCTTATAATTCAAAAAGCAACCCCCCAACAACAACATGCCCAACAATTTAAACCACAGCCGCAATTTGCCTTACGAAACCCAAACTCAACTATTCTTTCTTTCCATCATATATATTTTTTTTAATGCAAGTGGGGTTTTTGCTTCATTTGCTTGTGGGCATCTCACTCATCCCCTTTCTTTTTTTTTCTTTTTTTTATAAATATATATATAAAGAAAATAATTCAGTCCTTTAATAATAATAATAATAATAATAATAATTTATGGGTGAAAGCGGTTGCCCTTCTCCATACGGAGTCGGGCTTTAATTCATTCGTCAATGTTTGAGGCTCCCGTTTAACTACAATCTCAACCGGCCCACGTTACCCCAACTTCCTTTTTTATTGTTCCATAACCAACCCTGGCAAGTCAGATATACTACCATTCTGCCATTGGCTTTAACATAATTCATTTTCAAATTCCAACAATCCAATCGAGTAATTATAGGATACTACGGTAGTACGGTCACTTGGCTATACTACCATAATATTCTATAATTTCTCCAATCCAATCACTCTAATTAAAGCTTGCTTATGTTGTATGATTTTTCTGAATAGGACAAATACTCCAAGGTTTTGTTTTGAATCATTTGTACAATAGTTTTTCAATCAAATTTATACCATTTTAGTCAAGATGGAGCCGCTCTTAGATTTTAGTGGGTTCGATCTAGCTCAGTACAATTTTGGAAATACGTCAATTTGGTGTTATCTTTTTAGGAAATTCATCATATTAAGTGAAAATTAACCTACCCCATCTATGCAAGAATTAGTCCACTACTTTCAAACAACTCCTTATACAAAGTCACTAGTTTGACATTGCTATGTTGTAAAAATAATTGCTGTCAGATTTAGTTTTAGAGGAAGCAATTTGCCGTTTGGTAAACTTTTTGTTAAAAAGTGTTGTTAGTACTAATTCCCGCATAATCAGAAAATGATTGTCGTATAATCATTAAACTCAGCGCCTCTTCAAAACTGATTATTTCATAATCAAAATATGAAAGCACCTCATTAGTTACTTTCTCTTATAGCTTTCTCTCACAACAATTTTTAACAATAAGTGATCTTCTCATAATTTATCAAACAGGTTGAGTTTCCCAAAATTTTTTAAATTACCTCAAATAAGTAATGTCAAACAGACACTTAACCACTCACATATAATAGGATAAGAAATAAATTATAACCGAGTGAAAAATTCCAACCCCGTCCTAGATTGTACTAATACCTAAATTTGATATAATTTAGCTAGTGACTCAATTTTTTTATATTGAAAATTAGTGACTCCTTTTACTAATACCTAAACATGATTTAATCTTTTTATTTAAAAAAAAAAAACATAATTGACTAGTTATTGGTCATTAGCGATATTTTTTTTTCTAGTTGTTCCAAATTCAATTTTCACTTGTCTAATATTAAAAGTATTGCTAGGACAAACTCACTAGAGTAATTCGTGGTCCGTTTATGTAAGAATCGGTTAATACAAGGATAGGAGTGTCATTTCAACAAAAGAGATTCTTTAGACGATTTCTCCTAAAATTTCCATCTGATCCAAAATAGTGAGACAAGAAGATTGAGGAAATCTTGAAATGGGGCATCGCTTGAAGGTGGCATTTTTGTCAGTTACCCTAAATCCGACGTGGGTGCCCGTCGTTTTGGAGGCAAGTAGGCCCCTGACCTTTATTCCCTCACCCACCCCACGAGCCATAACATCACTCCGATTACCAAAATGCCCTCCCAAATTCAACCAAAAATATTCTTTTTCAATTTTCAATCACTGATAGAACACCAAGATAAGGCACATGATATTTTAGTTAATAGATTCCAAAGGGCAGTGGACCAATATGGGCCTATGGGTTAGGACCCATTTACCCATTACCCGTCCAAGCAGCATCTTTTCTCCATCTTTTATACGAAATATATTAAGTTACCTTCACACGCATCCCTATGCGTGCACCCTACAATGCCATAAAACAAATATTGGTCCCCCTTTATGACTAAAATTTGGAAAAAAATAAAAATAAAGGAAATTCATTTTAAATATTTTTTATTTTTCTGCCAAAAATATTCCTTGTGTTGATTCTTTGTTTTTTTTTTTTTGGGGGTAATATATGACATTTGACTTCGATTTGTTTATAATTCATTTATTTATGGGTTTGATATAATTCATAAAATATTGTGAACTTTCATTTAATTTCGCTATGAGTCTTGATATTTCAAACTGTTAGGGCTCGTTTTGAGAGTGATTATATCACTTTTGTAGAGAATTCATTATCCATATAATTACTTAAAAAATAATTTTTTGGAGAAACATATAAGATGTGCTTCTTCCCAGAATCACTTGAAATCACTACAAGTGATTATATTGACTCGTTTGGGAGTGATTATACATACGTCAATAATCGCTTCTCCATATAATCACGTTAAGTGGTTTTAAGTAATTTATTGAAAAGCACATGAGAGGTGCTTCTCCTCTAAATCACTTAAAGTGATTATATAGAGAAGCACATGGAATTCAGAATCACTCCCAAATGAGCACGTGAGATGTATTTCTCCCTATAATTAATTAATTATGGGCCCGAATCACTCCCAAAGGAGCCATATATTATCCACAAAAAAAAAATTGTTAGTGCATAAAATATGAGGAATTTAAGTATTTCTTTGTTGGAATTCTATGACTTCCAGTATTATTTGTAATATATATATATATGATTAATCATTGAGACAACCTTAATTATTTCCATCAAGCCTTCATTTTCTCTTTGGATTGAGATGGTGAAAGCTAGTGGAGGAAATCAAAGATTGATTGAGATAGTTGAGGCCGATGTATGAAATCAAATGTAGATATAGATAATTAAGGTTAATGGAGAAATTCAAGGTTGATAAGGAAAATTAAGGGTGATGGAGATTCTCAACGTTGGAGATGATTGAGGCTGATGGAGAAAATCAAAGATTGATAGGGATAATTAA